ACTTTCGTTATCATGGAATTATAACAAAACCTGCCAATTCAATATAAATGGAAAAAAAATATTATATGGAATTGAACGAAAATGAAAATTTGCTTGATAATTCAACTACGCTTGTTGGAGAACAATAAAAACACTACACTCAACAAGCCACCAATAAAACTCAACTGCCTAACCTATAACCAAAGTCTCCTTTTAATTTGTTTTCAAAAAAAAGCGCTTGACAATCTTGCCCCGCATGCCGAAGTTGCCCCGGTCTCCCCTAATTATTATAACAAATTTTTTAAAAATGCTGAAATTAAAGAAAACCAGACATTTTCTGCTTTAATCAGTACAATTACAACAAAATTCTAAATACTTCAATACAACATGTAGAAGAAGTTTCTAGCAAAAATAGTTTTCGTTTGAAAGTCTCATTATCAAAGTCAAACATGTTACTAAAAATTGTTTAGAACACAAAACATATTATTCGATGGAAAGTTTTTGGAACATAACAATCGAATGTCATCAGATTAAAATACTAAATTTGAATTCAATTAAATTTGAAATTATTTGAAATCAAATAAATTAATCTAAACTTCCATCTACATTTTTTCATAATCTATGTTTGTCGTTTTCTTGGGTCTCCCTTCACTTCTCTCCAGGTACCATTTTCGTGGTTTAGAAAAAAGTTCTGAATCATTAACCTTAGTACCTTTTCTTCTAACATATCACCAGACAACTTATTTGCTGATTTCTTGCAGAATATAAAGAATATTTCATCGCACCGTCAGTGCTTTTCTCGACCAATGCCGTCCTCTTTCTTCCTCATTTTATAGCCTCTTTATGTTCCTTAAGCAAACCTGTAAGGATGTCGGTGTGATACCTATATGTGCTAATTGACTATTTTTATCCTCCCGCGTAGATACTTTGTACAACCCTGTTTTTTTCATTGTTATGAACATCTACATCTTCCAAAAGGTTGCCATAATTTTCCAATACTCTATATACAACTACAAATGAAATATACTACAAGGCATATTTACTATGATATCATTTTACATCTCTATTGTCTTTTTACTTGAATGTTATAGTTTACGACATTTATACAACACCTAAATCATTTTACACATACTTCATAATATGTTTATAACTTATAATCATTTCTAAATTTATCCATTAAAACGTTTGTTTCGTCATTGCCATGAATTAAAATATATAAACAATGTTTAGTAAAATTTAATTGTGAAAATACCCAATAATTAAATATTGAAAATCCAGTTATAAATGAACTTAAAAGTGTGCACACTTTTCACAATTATGTAAAGAGCTAACCCAAATTTTCGTAATAATCGAATAATAACGAAATATGCAATGTATTTCCTGATTTTTTTTTTTTTGCAAGTTATTGTGCAGTGTCGTCGAAACCACGTTCATCAGGAAACAGACTTATTTACTAAAAATTGCTCAGCTTTATATTTATTGCATTCCCTTTAGATTGTTTTATTTTAGTGTTTTTCCTCCCTATGACAGTAAGAAGAATTTCTTTACAATCAACGTAGATGCGTATAGGTCACCTGTGAAGTGAAAGACGAGGCCCGACATATCTAGAATAAAACATCCTCAGAAATATTCTCGTATTCGAATTCGGAACCGTCAGAATGGTAGAAGACTAACGTCTTAACTAATCTAGCGGCTGTCATATTTGCTTTGTTTTAAAACGAATAGAAATTACATATTCCTTTAAAATAAATTTTGATGGTAAATATCAGGGGTCACCAACCTACTGAACGCGAGGTCAGATCATCCGACCCGCTGCCGCAAATAAACTATAATACAGTATAATTATTTGTATGGCAATATCATATATTAGAGATAAACTTACTATGTAAAAAGTATTAAAATAAGTATAAGTAAAAATGACAAAATTACTTCAGTCTGATTTTTACAGTGAATGTGTCTCTTTAAACCGATCAATTCAGATAAATATATTGTAAAAGTGTATATGTATTCTCTTGAAAATGTGTTAATAGTAATATACTACGTATTATTAATCTGTAAAACGATCATCGTTGCTGCGACGTTATATTGTAGAACATACACATTCTTTAAAAGTTGTAATTATACAAGATTTTATGAACAATTGTTAAAAGTTTACCGTATTAATGTGAAAATGTATTTGAAGTGTTTTTAAATGGCTATATTTTAAACTCTTTCCAACGTTACGTGTTATACACCGTGGTTTTAAAAGACAGAACCTGAGTTTTGAACTGAAGAGGGACTTAAAATACATATAAGTCCAAAATGCATATGTCAAAACAATAAAAAAAGTATCTAGCCTGAAAGCTGTATTGATAGTCTACCGAACTGAATTGATCGAATTAAAGAGACACATCCACAACGAAATAGCAGCTACCATAAGTGATATTCTGATTTTTGCATATGGCAGTAACACAATTTTTAGGAAAATCAGTGAAATAAAAAATTCGGCGAGAATTTGCAAATTTGGATATCACAGCGCCTTTTGTGAAATTATTACATGCAATATAGCTTCTAAGAAAAGTGATTACGAGCTTGCTGCAGCGATCGTGTTTGGGTATTGATAAATAAATATGTTTGTTGTCTTAGTTTTTCGTGTATTCAGTGTACTGTATTGAACAGAGTGGTTATGCGGCCCGCGCTCATCATTCTCTTAGCTATCCGGCCCGCAGAGAAAAAAGTTTAGTAACCCCTGGTACACATAACATTTTTGCTAAATGTAGAAAATTTGCAGATGTTTCTACAATTATATTTGTACATTTACACACGTCATCAATATTCTGATAGATTCCGAATATTGCTTTCGTTGGCAAAATGGAATGAAGTACATTCTGTACGCTTTCTCGTCTTTCCTAATTCGATAAACGCTTTCAAGATAGAATAGAGACTACTCAACATCTGAAAGTTAAAACGAACGAACTATATTAAAAAAAACAATTAAGAAAATACCTTAATGTAAATATATCATACTTTAATCGGAAAATTACGTTTGACTCGAAAAAATCCACCCACAGATATTCCAATCGGAGTTTTCCCGAATCTCTTCATGAAATTCAGCATCTGTTTACGAAACAATTTAGAAAATATTGTATCAAAATATATTTTTAATCTTTAGATGTATATATATAAAAATTTTACCTTCAGTTTGAATACGAGAGAAAATCTCGATGCAAAGAATCTATCGATGTTGTTGAAGTTTCCATAAAGCTAAAATATACATTAATCATTCGTCAAGACATATATAATAGTTTATAATACAGATAATAACGAAGCTTTACCGAAGATGTCAACCTAGACAATCCAAAGGCAATCATCATAAATTCACACATAAAACATGGAATAATGATTACTGCACCAATTTCGAATTCTTTGGGTAAATCGTAAAACACAACTACTGTTATAAGGATACTAAATCCATATAGATTATAACAATACATTATAGCAAACAGCATTTCGAATTTATTGTTAATGATCTGAATGTCTTCCATTAATTCTGTGTATTCTACAATAAAATTTTCAATCGAATCCTTTACATTATTTTTTCCACGAATAATATCGTCGAGTTTTTTTGACAATGTAGTAAATCCATGAAAGAGAATAGAAAAACAATTAAAAAGAAAAAAACATTACATAAACGACCTGACTTATCAATAGAATAAACAACACTGCCATGTCAATATTACAGATTAAGTATTCGATTTCTGTTGCTCTTTCCATCGTCACATATAAAAATAAATCGAGCAGAAGGACTATTAGTATTTGCAAAAGAGCTATAATTGCTAAGAACAATCCATAGCGAAATTCAATCAAAGTGGCTAAATCTTTATCTGTTTCATACGAGTATTTAGTATTTGCAAACTCTAAACTGACTCGCTTGAGATAAGTGAACTGCAAAGTCCAAATTGTTATCATTCCAATGATAAACACCTGCATGATAGGTTTAAAATCAAGAAACATATTAAAAAAATCTCCGCAAATAAATTTATCAGAAAATATCGTCGTGAGGAAAGCAAAATTATTTAGGAGAAGAATATATTCGATCAGATTTGAATATAATTCGAAATGTCTAATTTGGGATTTTTTAGAGTATCGATTCCCGAGTATATTTAATCCCAGAATTTGTGATGCTGCATTTAAGGAAAAGAGGAGAATTATAGTCTCATTCTGTTGACTCTCCATAGTATACGTGATTTTATATCGTTTATTATTGAATATTTTTAAGAAAACTTTTAACTCAGTGGTTTTCAATAGGGGTGCTGCAGCAAACTACGCTGCCACAAAATGTAGTGAAAACTTTTTACCTGTATTACTAAAAGTACGAAAAGTGTACATTGATAAAGAAGTCAGGGGTTTACACAAATAATTAATAAAAAATAAAAGTTACAAAGTTGAGGGTGCCATAATTAGATAAGGAAGTAGTTGTGAATGCATATCGAAACGAAACACTAGTAACTGTAAATGATTTATATATGATAAACATTGTAACCTACACCTTGTTATTCTCGAATGTAGCTATTATGTATAGAAGAATAATTTCTATTTTGAATTATTTAATAAACTATAAGAAAGCGGTTAATAATGACAAAATAGTAACAACTAACAACAATGACGAAGTAATAAGAAATAACAAACCATTTTACGTAGACTAATGTTAGAACCTGAATTCTATATTTGGATGCCATTCGGGTGACTATTCATTTTTCTTCTTAAACATATGAAATCTCGAGAATACAGGAGTGAATAATAATAATACTAATATAGCTATTTGCATGTGACTAATGGACTAGATTCATCGAGTTCTCTTTGCTTTTACAGTTGCCTAACATTTAAATAGGAGCCAGTTCTCCATTGAAGTCATCCTAGTAGTGCGTCAACTTGACAACTAGTTCAAGTATGCGCTGTATTAATTCATCAATCAATAAAAAAATTAATAAAATTCATTTTAGAATTCTAAATATAGACAAGAATAAATTTTCATTTTATATTCAATAATTTTCACGCTAATGAATAAATACATTAAATATGCATTACACAAAAATTTATGTTACGCTGCTACAGTAAATTTACCATTACAAAGAAAATTTCATTTCAAGTATATTTACGTTATTCTCTGTTCAAATTTTTACTTTACATAACTTAAAAATTCATTCTATATAATTTCATCTCTATTAAGCCAAATAAATCATACATGTTAAATTTAATTAAGAACTTGGAACAAAACAAGACATTATATCAATTTTATAGTAAAAAGAGAAGTTGGCAGCTTAACCACAATTCGCTTTAGAGGTACTTTTCCTCGTTTATAATGATATAATAATTCAACAATAATGTGTTTCCTGTAGTATATTTTATGTAAAACAAAATTCATAATTTAATAATGAAAAATTTTTAGCTTTTACTTTAAGTAATTACAAACAATCCTGTTTGATTTTTATTATATAATGTCATTAAACTGGAGTAAAGAATTTCAATTGTCTTACGAGCGTGACGAGCGGTTAGTCGAGGCAGTGATGGCTCCAGATTGTTTGTCTGGAAATGGTTTCTAGCCTGGAATCGAATCCGGGTTAGCCAACCATAAAATATTAATTATGCATTATGACCTTGAGATTTCTGACTGTAGTCCTTATGGGCTTCCGAATTCACGATAGATATGAGAAAAAGCAGGTTCTTTTGGTACCCACTGGGCAAAAGTATCTGAAGTACATTTCAAAATTCTAAGCATTTTATTAAATATATTCTACGTAGAGTAGATGTCATCGATATAGTTTCTTGGCAATCTCAAGTCACATTCCTTCCTTTTCATGGGGCAGTAACTAAAAATCTTCAGTTACAAAATTGCTATTTAAATATGTAAAATTATACAAAAAGTTTACGTAATCCTTTTGTTCTTTAGCGTTTGACTCAACGAAGTGGAAGCCATTTTCTGTCTGATCCTATTTAATTAAATCAATATAAAATTATCTTTTTAATTCGAACTCAATTGTGTCACCTCCAGTTTATTCGAATGAAAAGTTCGTGTTAGTAGATTAACATTTTCCCACTTTTATAATTTCAAGAGCAAATTTAAAATTAATAAAATATACTTTAAAAATATTTGAATCAAAGTCATCTTACACAGGTGGTAATTATTAGATAACGTGAGACTTCAGATTTATAAATTTGTCAATAAAATATAATTATACGTTCCTCAACAATATTGTAAGAGTTTATACCAACCGGATATTACTTTAAAAATGTTACACTCTGCCTGCATTAAGAGACCACCAAGTATTCGTACCAAGCAAAAAGCGGAATTTCGGGTAAAAATGACATAAAAGTCTGAAATCCAGGATACAATGAGGTTTTGAAACTGGTCAGTCCGCCATCATCTCTGCATAGGATTAATCCAAGGATCAAGGAAGACCCCATTAGGCTAAGTGTGAGTGCGAACGACTACTCTGGCCTCCGCCCATACCCGCCAGAAAAACTTTTTCTGAACTTCGTAAAGTGTCCTTGGAGACGAACTTTCCCCATTACTCCTAAAAAGAAGATTGTATGGACGAACTCTCCTACGCTTCTTTTAGCATCTCCAACTGGAAAGCAGTCTTGTAAACTATTTGTAAGCATGTCTATTACCGTGTTTCCCCGAAAATAAGACAGTGTCTTATATTAATTTTTGCTCTGAAAAGTGCGCTAGGCCTTATTTTCAGGGGGAGGTCTTATTTTTTATTGAACAAAAAAATTCCCAAGTCGAACTTAGACGAGAGTGACGTATATCCGATGTGTCGAACTGTCGCCTTTTTATAGCGTCAACATCGGACTCGATGACCAATTAGTGCTTACTGAACCGTAGCACTATGCAAATGTCATGTGGCGTGATTCCCGGCCAACCAATTAGCCATCACCAGCCGTAACGTTATGCAAATCTGTGATTCCCAAGCCATAGTCTTATGCAAATCATGCCGTGTGGCGTAATTGTCTGCTGACCAATCAGTGGCTGTACTTTCAAAAAGCCAACGGCCACTTTCAACCATCTGTCGATGACCGTTACGACTAAAAATAAACTTCGCTAGGTCTTACTTTCAGAAGGAAATCCTATATTTCGCAATTCAGCAAAATCTGTGCTAGGTCTTATTTTCTGCGGATGTCTTATTTTCGGGGAAACACGGTACTTAAATAAACTCCCATACGCCAGAAGACTTCTCGCGTCATCCTGACAAAGAAAAGCGAGGGTTAATAGACCTCTCACCTAAATCGAGTGGCATCGAACTCTAAAACTTCACATCCTTACGATTCCTCTAGATATACGTACTTCATAGGAGATCTGTCACACGTTTTGAAAAATATCTGTGCTGCCCTGTTAAATAATGTAAATATTATTCTATCAGCTGAAACTATTCATAAATATAATCTTCCAACGAATGTTGTAGATCTGCATCATGTTATTAATTTAGCTAACTATCAATGTTGTGAGTTGAAGTTAGCACCTCAACATACTTTAAAGCATCTTAGTACATATAATTTTCTGAAAATGAGGGTTAATGTTGCCTTGAAATTTATTAATCGTAATACTAGTACTGCATTGCGATACATGATTGATGAAGTTGGTTGGAGTAGAAATGTTGAAACTACAGCTTAGTTTATTAAAGTTATTATGAAATGGTTTAATTTCACGTCATAAAGATGTCCTGTTACAGCACTCAGTCTTCACGATAAGAACAAATATGACTAATCGGTTGTCTTCTTAAAAATTTCAATGCCCTCACAATTGGAAGTGATTGGAATCTAATACAGTTGGGGCTATATTGTCTATTACTTCAGTTTTAGATTTAGCACAGTTACTATTACAGAAGCATAGTTTCCATTTTTTTAATTTTTATATCCAGGTGCAGTCAAGATTTCCTTGAAAAATTATTCTCGTGCATTAAAAAAGGTAATCCTGCACTAACTGCACTTGAATTCAAGAATAACCCGCGATTGACGACCATTGCTCAGTAACTAAAAGCTCCTTCATCTTCAAATTATGACGAGGATGATGGGAAATTCCTTCAAGATTTTAGATAACTCTCAGAACAGTCCAGTTATAGAAAGTTGCTTCATCGATGATGAATTTATAAAGCAAGTAAACATTAAAGACTGCCACGGTAACAGTTGATCACAGGCAACTGAAACTAAAACTAAAGAGACTATACTTCAACATATACGAAAGCTGATAAATGCGAAAACATTTAAAAAAGTGCACTGACATATCCAACAATTTTGTCATACAGTATAATATGCTCCTATGGGTGAAGGAGTTGCTATTTACTTGTGCTGAAGAAAAATTTTCCTCTATAAATGCCAGTAATGTGGAAAATCAATTTCCTAATAAGGTTAAGAAATTGGCCCAAAAACAATTTCCACAATGTCATGACATTAAAAGGCATTTATTGAATATATTTTTAAGTAAGATTTCGTATGTTTCAGCTAGAATTGCAAAAAAAAAAAATGATGCAGATATAAAAAATAAAAAAATAT